ACCCACACCCACCTCTTGTAGTTGGCACCCATTAAGACACAAACAAAATATTGCATTCTTCTGCTTCCTCATCTGGGCTTGTGCTTACTCCACCCCTGACCTTTGGGCACTGTCTCCCATTCCCAGTTGGCACCTGCCTATTGGACCTGACAGTCGACTTGACTTGACCCTATTTGACCCTTAGTGCTCTTGCTCCCTCTGTCTCACTCTCAATTAAGAGTTTGTAATTCCCCTTTGGTTTCTCCACTCCCACCTATCCTGGTAGCTCTTCTCCTAAATGAGGCCCATTCCTTTGACTCAACTTGATGTGTTTGCTTCTGCTCAAGTTCAGCCTGCCCAAAAAGAGTGATTCCCAAGTGCTTTATTGGATAGGCTTCTTTTTCATTCAAGAGTTCCACATGCATAGCTACAAACTGCCATGCATAATCTCTATCAGTTGCCAGAAATGTTGAAGATTTCTTTCTGAATCTGAGTTTATCTGAAAATTTGTCAGGACTAAAGACTAACCTTGGGCTAATGTCAGTCAACAGGAAAGAACTCAGGAACAGAAAACCAAACACTGCATGTTCTCACTTATAAGTAGGAGCTGAAAGATGAGTACACATGGACACATGGGGCAGCAGGTTGGGGGGAACAACACACACTGGGGTCTATCAGTCAGGGCATGGAGAGCGAGAGCATCAGGAAGAATAGCTAATGGATGCTGGGCTTCATACCTATGCGATGGGTTGATCTGTGCAGCAAACCACCATGGCACATGTTTACCTATGTAACAGACCTATAGATAGTGAGCATGTACCCCAGAACTTAAAAGTTGAAGAAAAAAAAAAAAGAAAGAAATTACTTCGGTAAATTCATCAATTAGGATCAATTAGGATTATACCTGTGGTTCTGGTGTATACAAGAAATATTTATGATCTTTTTAATCTTCATGTCTTGTGATGAATTACCATTTATTTGCTAAATTCATCAATTAGGATTATACCTGTGGTTCTAATGTGAACAAGAAATATTTATTATCTTTTTACTCTCCCCATGTCTTATGATGAATGGCCATTTATTAGCTTCTCATTTTTTAATTGCGTATCAACTCCCACTTTATTCCACCCAGAATGTAAGTTTCTTCAGAGCATGGACTTGACCTGTTTGTATCCACAGTTCTGTCATCAGCACCTAAAATAGTACTTGGCAAATAGTAGGCAACCAGTTGGTATTTGTTGAATACTCAGTGAAAGAAAGAATACATGAATGACTGGGAAGCAGAATGGAACGTGGCTGGAGCACAGCCTTTGACATCAAAGAGATCTCAGTTCAAGTTTTGGATATGCTACTTCTTATCTCTGAGATTTCTCTGAATTTCAGCTTCTTCATCAATAAAATAGGTTATAGTATCTACCACAAAGATTTTGGGGAGTATTCAATAAGATAATGCATGTAAAGTTCTTAGCATGACAGCTGGCATATTGTAAGAACTTGGTAAATGTTGTCTATTATTTTCAGTGAAAATCCTCAAATGTTGAAGCTTATCAGAGGTAATTGAATTATTTTAACATGACTGGCAGTGATTATTGTACTGAAGACAAATTAGTATAATTACTCTGTCAGCAAGATTTGATTTGAATCAGATTGACAAAAAAATGTATTGGTCACACTCACCATATTTAAAGCACTATACTAGGCTTTCAGGAGTGGGTGGGATACAAGGATGGATATGACACAGCCCCCTCCCTCTAGGAACATAGAACTGAGAAGACTTACCATGTGTGCGCTGTACCATGCTGAAGAGACTCAAATGTGAGGCAGTGTACCTCCCACATCATCCAATTTACTCTCCGTGATCTGCAGGAAATTCTTCTAAAACAGTCTCTGCTTTGAACCCCTATAATGACAAGAAACTCACCAACTCATGAAACAGACGATTCTCTTTGGGAACAGCAATCACCACTAGAATGATCTTAAAATTATCACAAATCAACCACCCCATGATTTTTACACATTGATCAAATCTCTGCCTTCTGGGCACCTCTAGAATAAATTCATTTTGCACTTTTCTATCAGAGATCAGCAAAGTAATGCCTGCAGGCTAGATGCAGCCTGTTTATTTCTCTAAATAAAGTTTCATTGGAACACAGTCAAGCTTATTTATGTACATGTTGTCTATGGCTGCTTCTGTTCTACAGCAACTGAATACTTGGAACATTTCAGCCGACAAGGCTGAAAATATTTACTATTTGGCTCTTGAAGAAAAACTCTTTCAACTTCTGCTCTATGTGACAGAACTTGAAGATTAGTAACATGCTCTTTCCTAAAGCGAGGAGCAGGGAAATGAGCACAGGACTCCAAGTGGGAGCTAATGTAGAATCATAGAACTAAGTAATACTATCACCTTCCCTGTTCTGGATACCATACTTCAAATAATGTAGCCAGAGATCAGATAGCTCTTTGACTGACACACAATACTCAGGTGTATAAAAGACAAAATCTGTAAGTTATTTCTCCCAGGAGCTTCTATTAAATTATGTCTCCCCACCACCGCATCATGGTATAGCCTTGTGTAAGGAATTATATTCAAAATTTTACATCTTTCTTGTTTGTCCAGAGCCATCAGGCATAATTTATACATATTCAAGGTCAGACAGAAAAAGGATGGCAGTCACAGCTAGGATTTTGAAGAGAATGTAGAGACTCTTCACCTGCCCAGGGGTGGAGTTAGAAGAACAAGGGAATTTGTCACCCCCACCCATCTGCAGAGAGGAATTGCCAGGGCCCAGTGATAGCCGGAATCATGACTACTTAACAGGACTTACCGTAGAAGAAACACAACCATGGCTAGCCCCACTCTCTGAGGCAGGCAAGGAAGGAGGGAAATCGATACCCTGGCATACCCATCTCCATGTTCTACCTACATTGGGTAGAACCCTACTTGAAGCTGGAGGCACAGGAGTCAGGTAAAGAATAGATGTGGGAGCCAGGGCAGAGATGACAAGGGCTAAGTGGTGGGCACAGAGCAGGTAAAGAATAGATGTGGGAGCCAGGGCAGAGATGACAAGGGCTAAGTGGTGGGCCAAGCATTTCATTAATGCTGAGTGAATAGGTGAATGGATCAAGTGGGCCCAGGGCCAATCATTCAATAAGTATTCGTTGAACAGCACAAACCATCGCTTTATGCCCGCCTGCCCTGAAGCCCTCACTGCTGCTGTCTGCTCTCCCAGACATCACCCCCAGCACAGCCCTTGTCCTGGTTCCCCAGTCCCTCGCTGGCCCCTCAGGGTTTCTGTCAAGACTGTAAAACCAATCTGGATCTTATTTGGGAAATGGCATAATGGAACAGGATTTGTTCTGAGCAGAGCAAGACAACTCTAATCAAAGAGAGAACTTTAAGTTCTAAAACAATTCTTAGAATCTAAAATTTTTTTAAACAGAAAATTTGGTGTCACTCTACCCTATGGAGAAAAATGAGTGGCTTCTAAGAAGTACGCCCCAGATGTCTGTGTCACAGGCCCTGGATCCATCAGGCCCCTTCTTATTAAATGCCTCAGGGCTGGCTCTCTTGTGCTCAGATGCTCTTGTCACATGGGAGCCTTTGACTGCAAAGACTTCCAGTCACTTGATTGATTATGCCAACAGCAGGAATGTTGACAAAGTGATGTGTGTGTGAGAGAGAGAGGGTGTCAATGGCATGAGGCTGCTGGTGACCATCCATAGCTTCCTGCCAGTTACCTCCTCCTCTGCCCATTGAGTCAGCATGGAGAATATTCAGCACTGGCTTCCTTGAGGGATATTGAAGATTCTGGATTTTGAATACTTAGAGAAAGCATTGTTTGGTCTGCTACTCTGGTTAGATTATTTGTCTTTGCTTGGAAAGGGCAAGATAAAATTGAGCATTAAACTAGGAATTGCTGTTCATGTACGTTGAAGCCTATTTTTAAAAAAGTAGCTGTGGGCTGGGCACGGTGGCTGACGCCTGTAATCCCAGCACTTTGGGAGGCCAAGGCAGACAGATCACTTAAGGCCAGGAGTTCAAGACCACCCTGGCCAACGTGGCAAAACCCCATATCTACAAAAAATACAAAAAAATTAGCCAGGCGTAATGACATGTGTCTGTAGTCCCGGCTACTTGGAGTGGGGTTGAGGGGCAGGGGTTGAAGTGGCAGAATCAGCTGATCCTGGGGAGGTCAAGGTTGCAATGAGCCTCTGATTGCACCACTGTACTCCAGCCTGGGAGACAATATGAGATGCTGTCTCAAGAAAAAAAAAAAGCCATAGACCTATGCAGGTCTATCTGCATTCGAGTCCTGAAATCATGCTTTTTCTTAGATCCATAACTCTAGCAGTTGTCCCTTCATGCCTCCCAGATAAAGGCCAGTCAGCCCCGGGTCTGAAAGTTCTTATACGAGACCTAGAATTCCCAATTCATCTGTGACTGTGTCAGAACTTGTTAATAGATTTCATTAAGGTCTCCAAAGCCAATTTCATGAAATCTAACCCCAACTAGAATGACTGGCAAAATTTGAGTAAGCTCTGTAGATTGGGTAATAATACCGTATCGACGTTAATTTTCTGATGTTAATCATCGTACTACATTTATGTAAGATAATTGCCCTTGTTCTTAGGAAAACACACTGAAATATTTAGGGGTAAACATGCATCATGGCTGTGACTAATTCACAAATAGTTAGGAAAAAAGTAATTTTATATGCAGAGAAGAAAAGTTGTAAATCAAGTGTGGTAAAATGTTAACAGCTGGTGTATGCAGGTCAAAGGTATATGGGTTTGTTTGGCTTTTCTTTTTTTTTTTTTTTACAATTTTATGACTTTTCTATAAGATTAAAATTACTTCAAAATAAGGCTGCCAAAAAACTAATTCCAGAATACTAGAGCTGTTCGCACCTGTCACTGAGGTGCCAATGTTCAGCCATGCTACGTACTGCAGAGTGAGCCAGAAATGGAATCTCCTGTTCTGTCATCTTTGAGCTAAAATGAATCATTTTCTCTTTCAGCTAAAGAGCTCTCCTATTTATGGAGGCGAACACTGAGGATGCTTTCCACATGAACCCTGAAGGTAAGGGGGACTTATTTACATGCCCCTCAGTCACATCACCGATCTGCCCTACTGTCCCTTTCATCCAGGGCAAGGGCTCAATTATCTTGGTTCACAGAGAATATCATCTCAAACAAGTCAATGTCTACACTGGCACATTCTGCTGTCTTCAAAGACTGTTTCAATCTCCCCAGCCTGTGCAGCTCAGAAAACCTGATGTTCATCATTTTCTCTGTTTTTCTCAAAAAATACCAAAGCTTTTAATAGCTGGTATCTCCTAGTGGTACAATCATGAGAGATTTTTATTTTCTTCTTGTAGTGTTCTGTAGTTGAGAGATTATCGACAGTGACTGTGTTACTTTTATTATCAGAGACTGTGTTGCTTTTATTTTCCTAAGCAACTCTACATAAATTCTTGCCACAGCTTTCTGGACCCCGTAATGTCACTGCTGTGTCTTCTTCCTCCCAGCCCTCATGGCAGGACTCATGTATGAGAGGCTCCAGATCTTCCCCCATCTACCAGTGGCAAGGAAACCCTAGGCTGCCAGGACTACCCAGCAAATAGATCATGAAGTATCATGACTCGATTTTACAGATGGAAAAACCAAGCCCCCCCCCGACTTGCCTCTGTCTATACTACAGTCAAATGGGATCTGGACCCACTGAGATGAGCTCCACATGTATGACTTTGAGGCTGCACTCTCAATTTCAGAGAAAGTGAGGGACCCAGGAAGATAGGGAACTGGCGAGGTTATTGGTTGAAGAAAATTCTAGGCAAAATTTTCCTGGGATTTCGTGGGACCATCTAAGGGTTGAAACATTGAAACGTGATAGCTCCCTGAGAGCCATCATGCTGCCTTGGTGTCAAGAACTGAGCCTGAACTTTCCCTCTTGACCAGGGTTTCTCCAACAACACTGTGGACATTCTGGGTCGGATCACTCTGGGTTGTGGGGCTGCTCTGTGCATCGTACGATGCTTCACAGCGTTCCTGGTGTCTCCCACTAAAGACTAGGAGGACACCACCCCACCCAGCACTAACAACTACTGTTGTCTTCACATAGGTCCCAGGAGGACAAAACTCCCCCCAACACAAGTAACAGTAAAATAATGTTTCCAGGCTTTGCCAAATATCCTCCGGGAGAGAACAAAATTGTCCCTACCAAGATCCACTGCTCTAAGTTGCCTCAGCCCAGCAGCAACTTTTGTTTTTCATGCAAACTGACTGAAATTTATAGTGTTCAGAATAAAATTAGCAAATACTTGCAGGAATGTCATCAGTCATCAAAATGTTCTAGGTACAAGAGCACCCATAGCATAATAGCCCTGCTCAGGAGCACCTGGTAATATTGGAAGTGCTGAATCGACCCATTCAGACTTCTCTGAGTTGCTTTCTCCAGTCTTGGCTTCTACCCCTTGATGCCAAATCCCTCATGCTATTTGCTGGAAGGAAAGCACATGAGGGAGAACAGGGCAATGCTGAATCCTGAGTGCACCTTTCCTTTAAGAGTTTGAAGGGATCAGGAAGCACCAGTAGACAGAGCTGTGTTGCAAAGCTCTGGGGAAATTTGGCTACTACTTTGTATTTATATGTGTATTCATTATTCATAGACATGTATTCATAGGCAACATTTTTGCACAAAATATTTGAGACATAGTCTCCACTTCACTTTATATAATTTTAACTTTTTACGGCAAATGGGTCACCATTCTAAACAGTGGCTGAACCAGAAATCCTTTTTTTAAAAAGTTAACCAAATAGTATAGAGTAGATAAGGTGGTGGTAGCAGATTTACCTGTGGTATCCATTGGCAAACCAAGGCCCTAAAAGGAACTCCCAAAGCCGTAGGGTTTGTACAGACACTTCCTACTCATCTTTAAGTGCCCCTCCAGGACCTTGTATTCCTCTGGTTGATCTCCCCCTGGTCCCTACATCCAGCCTCCATTATTTTCCACCCTTTACCCAACCTGGTGTTTGGATTACAAAGATACTTCTGATTCCAGTGGATATCTGTGAAAACACAGGCAGGAACTTGAAAGCAGTTACATGGTCATCCAAGAGAAACAAAAACACACCTCAGTTTCAGGGTGACAAGAACATCCAGAAAGCAATATTCATAAAAGAATTCCAGGGGGGAAAAAACCTCCTTAAAAGAGGGGATTAAAAATTAAGAGTAGAATTGCAATTCCTGTCCAAGACTCAACCCAAAGTGCCACAGTCTAGTTGCAGCCTTTGATCTGATGTCTGGTCTCTTTAACTTAACTATTAACTTTCCAATCCTGTCCCAGTGGTAATGATCAATTCCTAACAATCACTCCCTTGGGCCCCATACCCACCCAGGGTGGAACAAACTGTCTCTCTGCCTGGCATGCCAGATTCTTTTGCAAGAGCTCAGACATCCCTCAGGCTCTGCCCATTCCAACCCTGCCACCTCCAGCCCTTTCCCAGGCTCCCATCCACACATGTCTGCCTTTAACTCTCTCCAGATTTCAAGAGGCTAGGAGGAGCTTAGAAGCAGCCCAGGGTACTGGGGAGGATGTGCCCACCCATAGGGTATGCTTTGAAGTTCATTTAAAGCTCTATACTCATCCTCTTTTCCCCACCACTTACCTGTTAGAGTTTCTCAGATTCCTATCATTTGAACCTCTGCTTTGACTAAATTGTGGCATTACTCAAAACCTGCACATGTACCTAAGGGAGTAAGACTTTAACTTGTGGATAGCAATTTGTTTATGAGATTGTCTTGCTGGTGCTTCTCTAAGAAGAGGGCCTTGGGATTGGGACACAGGACAGATTCATTTTTATTGCAATGGAGAGACTGGAGTGATTGGGATACTGAGCTCTAGACCTATACTCTCTGATACACAAGCCACTAGCTACTTGTAGCAATTTAAATATACATTAATTGAAATTAAATAGTATTAAAAATTCCATTCCTCCATCACACTAGGTACATTTCAAATGTTTGCCAGCCTCACATGGCTTGTGGCTACCATTGGGCAAAGGACATCCACTGGACATTTCCATAGAAAGCTCTTCTGAACAGCATGCCTTGAGCTGGAGGTTGGTACTTCCAGCAGAGAGTTCTGGAAAAGAGATGCAACCCGACATCACCAGCTCTGTGGGCAGGGATAGAGAAAAGTAGAAGGAACCAAATTCCAAAAGGAAAGGGAGCCAAAGCCTAGGCCCAGCCCTGAGCAAACACGCACCTGCCCCACCCAAAGCTCTTTATGTTAACAAATGGCAAGAAAGGAGCCACTGGGGTCGGCTTTGTCGCCCATTTCCTTCATTGAATGGCCTCTGAGTTCTGTGGGCTTCTGATGAAGCAAAAGACCCTATCCTGAATCCTGAGGCAAGAGGGACTCAGAGTTTCACTCAGAAATGGGAGCCTCTGGGAAATCTCCACCCTGGTGACACAGGGAGCCAGGCAGTCTCCCAGAGCCCACCTGGAGCAGTGAGTTTCCAAGTCAAAAGCCATTTCAAGAAAGAGGAGCATCTTCTACATCTGAAATTAGGCCTCCACTCAGAGAACCTGAGGAACCTGGAGGGTTCCAAGGAGAGTTGTAACCCCAACTGCAATTATGTTGCTAGATAAAGAGCCCAGATGCTTTGAATGAAGCAAGATGATGGTCTAGCATTTATCACACCTTGCCAATAACAGTGGTTCACACTTTGATAGCACTTTGCAGCCATGTGGCACACTTGCACAAAAATATCATTTATTTCATCCTCACAACAGTTGACAGAGGAAAGCTGGGCACATGTGACCCACTTGACACTTTATATTAAAAGAAACTCATGCTCAGAATGAGGAAAAGACATTCCAAATTTAATGTGGCTGGTGAATGACAGGACCAGCTCCAGAAACCACCCATCTACTCTGTCTCTCTTAAGTGATGAGGTTACTTGGTTCTTGTGCAAGACCCTAAGTATGTCAACTGCAAAATGTTGTCATCCAAGCTGACAACTGAAATCTTGAAGACTTCTGCTAGGCCTTGATGGCAAGAACATTTCTAAACCAACCACAGGCAAAAGGCAAGTGAGCTCACCATGGTTAGCTCGGACTGATACCTCCTCACCGCCTGGGACTAGATGCCTGATACCTAACAAAACTGAATTCTGTGGACAAAAATGAAGGAAGAAGTGGGTATTGGAGAAGTAACCAGCAGTGTCTGCCAGACCCACCTATATTCAGGGCTGTGATAGAGAAAGAAGAGGGACTTTCTACTCCTCCTCCCCTTGAAGCAGCCTCCCCAGGGAACCCCTCTTAGCCTCCTTGGCCAAGTCAGATTTGCCTGCCATTGGTTCTCATGGTACCTCCAGGGCTCCTTCTTAGCACTTGAATCATTTACACTGAAGTGTTTTATTAGCTCCTCTCTTCAGGAGACTGGAAGTACTATGAGGGTTGTTTCAGCACAACATTGTATTCTTAGGACCCCACTCATTCATCATAGATGCTCAGTTGATATTTGTTGAAGGATTAACAAATGGGTAGGTGTGTAGATTGATGAATGGATGGATGGATAAATGGATGGATGGATGGATCGATGGATGGATGGATGGGTGGATGGATGGATGGATGGGTTGATGGATAAATGGATAAGTGGGTGGATAGATGGGTGGTGGATGGATGGGTGGCTGGGTGGTTGGATGGGTGGATGAATGAATAGGTAGGTAGGTAGGTAGGTAGATAGATGAATAGTGTAAGGCCGGCTGCCTTGCAGAGGGTTAAACAGACTCATCCATCTCTCTCCGCGTCTGATAACTACGTCATTACCTGAGCTTATTATCTGGCCTTGCCACACGGTTTCTCCGCACTCACCTCTGCATACTAGACCTAAGCCCACATTCAGCACTAAATTATGCATTTAACCCCCAGCCTGTTGTTAATAAACTCTGCAAGAAAAATTTTTTAAAAAGCCCCATCAGACTCTGTCCGGTAGCAGTCTGCTCTGTATGCCCCCGGAAGGCCCGCTTACCTAAGGTCCCATCTGCCTACACATGACCACTAGCTCCAGGCAT